TGTTTGTTTTATTTATCAATATAGTGCTATGTTATAGAGAAAAGACCAGTACCCTCATTTAGAAGATACCCAACTCTGGTAATATAATCGAAACAAGTCCAAAACAATAAGATAAAGCTTTACAGATAAGATATATTGATTAGTTGTAGTTAATATATAATTTTTTTTGGCCTTGGCATAGGCATAAATAGACTATTAATTCTCTATAGTTTTAGAAAGTTTTTTTTATATTTTTCCTAGTATATATAATGCAGAATAGAGCTAGAGTAAAGACTTCTGCTATTTGTAGTATTATTATTATTATTTTTTTTTCGTGATCGTGACCTCTTTGCTATGGAGACTCTTTATTAGTAATTATTTGCTATTACAGTTACAATAAAGATACAACTAACTACACGCATCTTTTAAGTGCCTATTTAAGTAATCTGTTTACAGGTTCTACACTAGATGCCATACCTATAACCCAACTAGGGAGTTACCTATTTAAACCTTCTGATTCTAATTGTTTTTAGCATATCATACTAACCTGAGAACTACCATCTGGCCCATTCCACTAGATTGCATACCTTGCCTTAGGACTTCTATGACTTATCCTGGGTTTGCACTGACTAATTATTGGCTTGCATTCCTCTATTGAGTAAATACACGGCTATTCTCAAGATAAACCTACTGGAGCCTTCTGTATCCTGTATCTGGCTAACTCAGTCATCACAGTTGCTGAGGCTCCTACTTGCAGTTTGGTATAATCTAATTGAATTGCTATGCCCTTGTAAGGTTCACTTCAACCCCAGTACTCATATTTGGGTCTTCCTTTTTTCATAATTACCTTATTGGTCCCTCCCTTACTCCCAATCTGTAACCCAGAAGATTCAACCCTGGCTAGACTCTAGGTGCCTTATGCCCCATCTCATCATGATACATGATTTTATAGCACATGTCCTTTTCCTCCAATTGGGTCTGGCTAGTCTTTAGGAATTGCCCAGCTCTTGTCGTTAGGTAGAACCTAACTCTCAAATCCTAGTCACGGTGGATAACCACCCCGGTTTCTCACACTGGCTAACTAGGTTGGTGTGCTACCCTTCTCTCCAATTGGTGGTCAGATTGGTAGATTCTCTACTTAAGGATCTTGTTGTTATTCAGTTCTCCAATCTTGGCTATTACTTCTAAATTTAGCCTTTCTGTAGCACTGTCAAAAGTATCGCTACCTCCTTACTCGGGTTTTTCTAAACGGGTTTCAATCATCCCAGTTTCTTGATATTTTTGCACCAAAGCTTCTATAACAAGGTGGTACAACCAAGATTACAGATTGTAAATCCAACTGATTAATAGATAATCATTATCTAATGCAGATTTATTTTTCAAAAAATGTCATCTATGGGATTCAAACTCTAGACCTGCCACTTGGTGAGATGACGACAAAACCACTTTACTAAGCCACTACACCCTTATTTGTAGTATTATATAATTTTTTAAAAATAGTAGTTAGTCTTATTTAGGTTTTTACTTGTTTTTTTTATCTTGTTCTATTGTTCTTTTTAGGACTTTATATTTAGATTTTTGTTATTTTCTACCTTTAGTTAGTTTTTCCTTTATAATCATATTCTCATATTCTCATTTCTTATATTTGTTAGTTTTTTACTTTTCTTTTACTATATGAATAGAAAAACAAGCTAGTCTAAAGCCTTTCTGCCAAAATCTAGACAAAAAAAATTAAGTAAGAATATTTGAATAGGAACTAATTTAGACTCTGAGCTCTCAGGAGCACAGTGTAATAGGTTGTATTTGGGTATTCATACTTGGATGATGTTGGGCTTTGTTTAGTTTTAGAAATTAAACTATGTATTTACTATAAAATATATAATAAAACTAAGAGGTCAAGTCATGGCAAGACCTTTCAAAGGTTAAAAAAAAAAAAAAAATAGACAAGCTATTTAACAACACTAGTAATAATAATATTTGATAACAATACTAAGAAATGATATACAATTTGCAGCTAAATAAGAGCCAATAAATAGCACTAGCTATTCATATAAAACTGAACTTTTGAGACTTCTGGATAATTTATATATTAAAAAATTTTATCTTTTAGTTATTTAATCATTAAGTTATTAAAAAATAAATTTAAATTATTTGCAAATATACAAATATTATAAAATTTGAATTTTTAAACAGAATTGATAAAAATGGTAAAATTTACTTAATTTACAAATTATTTATAACAATTAAGATATTTTTAAAATATTTAAAAATTTAAAAATCTTTGAAGTATTTTTTAATAGATAAATAAAAATAAAAGTATATTTATTCCTCACCCTAGGGTGAGATTTGATATTACTTACCCCCAAGATTATCCAATAAACATGCAAGATCAGATGTAATATGTATAACATATAAATTATCTTTGTATAACAAAACAAAGACAATTTTTTTAAAAATCGCCAATATTTTGTTATTTTGCTTATGAAACTACTTTTTAGGTTTTAACAAAAAAGATTCTTTACATGATTTTACATATAATGTATTTAACCCTAATCTGCTAATGTTTTAGGTTCGATCTTTTTTTTTTGGAAATGATGAGGAGGTGAATAATTCACCTGAGTAGTGAATAAATTATTTTTAAAAATAAAATATCTATAATAATCAATATGATTCTTTATTATATTGAACAATAACCTATATTTATTGAATAGTATAAAATAATCTGGTATTTTAAATATTTTAATAACATTGAAATTTCATAATATTATTTAAATACTTTCAAATAAAAATTAAATAGATAGTTCATTTCATTAAATAATAAATATTTCAAATAAAATATAGAATTAATTTGAATATATTTAGAAAGTCTTAATTAATCTAAGAATATTTTGATATCTTTCGTATAAAATATAATTATTATTTAATATTTTTTATATAATAATTTTCTGGAAAAAAAGAAAATTATATATAAATAATTATTTTTCAAAAGGGTAAAAAATTATATCTTCAATAAAAATAAATATGATATAAAAAATAATTTTTTAATAAATAATATTTAAACTTGTTCTAGCTATAATATTGGTTTAATTTTTAAAATTAAACCAATAATCATTGATATAGCAAATTCAGAAGTATTTAAAATTTTTTGCAAAATTTTAAACTTTTTAGATTCATTCGCAATATTGCAATCTCTAGTAATTTACTATTCTAGTAATTGTTGATCAAATTTTGATAATTTAACCAATATAAAACTTGTATATTTTAATATGATTAAAATTTGCAAAATTACTTTAATATTATCAAAAGTTTTCGAAGTTTATTAATATATATTAGTTTCTAAATATATTGATATTTAATACCAGAATTAGGCTATTATGTTTTAGATTAGAGAGAACAAATTTTTATATATAATAAATTAAGACTAGCTATACCAAACTTAGACTATATATATATATATATATATTGGTATTAAGGTGATCTCTATAGCCAGGAGCTTTTTATTAAATAATTAGCAATATTTACAATTATAATAAAAGTACAACTCATTCAAACAATCAAACTCTCCCCATCGATCACTTGTACCAAAATTCTTCAGAAAATTTTTCGAACTCAAAATACAGTGAAGAGGTCATAGGAAGCGCCCGGAGTCAGAACGAAGCCATAAGTCAGCACCTGTCGTTTAGAGGTAGTTCTCATACGCTACCTGCCGACAGGTTTAGAGTTTATCACTTACTGCTGGGACGGCACTTGTCGTTTAGAAGTAGTTCTCATACGCTACTTGCCGACAGGCTCAGAGTTTATCACTTACCAAAAAGAAGAGTTCGTTTGGGAAAAACAGTTCATGACAAGTAACTGCTATTTGCTTAGTCACTCACTACTCTGGATAAATTCTTTTTTTTCTACTCTCCCTCTTGTCCTAGCAACAAATTTTTGAAGAAAAGTGGGCAAAACAGCTTACCCCTATCAAAAGATCGATATTGTTTACTAGTTTCCTTTTCTGGTCGATATAGTAAATAGCAACCACGTGTTTGGCCTAATTCGGATATGGCACTACTAGTTTGGTCTATAGCTAACAATTAAGATACTTCTAATAATAGCAGCAAGTGGCTTGAGATATGGGTCCTCGGACGGTGGCAGCACTTGGCTTGAGATACGGATTAGAAGGCTGGGCCAAAACTTCTGGTATTAATAGGGTTCGGAAAGAAAAGCATGAAGGTTAAGGCAAAGCTTTACAATAGAGATATACAATATTGCTATTATTATATAATTTTTATCTACCTGGCATGGGTTATAATAGTACGTTTTAGTGTATAGTTTTTCTTGTCAGGGTCACCTGACTTTCTTGTCCTTTTTCATCTTTGTTCATTTATGATGGAAATATATTTAGAATAGTGTTTTAGTTGGTTTAGATTCTTTTATTTCTCCTAGATGTAGTTGTTCTTAGGTAAAAGTGGTATATATAATCCTTGCTTAGAGAAGAGTAGGAGATAGGTATTCTACCCGGACATTGGTGGAAGAAGATCTTGAAGGTCGGGTGATTCTGACAAGGCATACAATGGTCAACTTACGAACCGAGGAGGTATCAGAGATGGTACGAAATTCTTAGCAAGTTAAAAATCTCAAGGGAGGTGAATAGTTGTTATGGCAGGTCGCATTGGGTTTAATCTAAACCTGGTGAGTCTTTATTGAATTAGAGCAATAAGTTGTAAAAATTTAGTACATTGTATATAAATTTTATAGCAGTTCACATAAATAAAGGCAGGATCGCTTAAAAAAAAAAAAAAAAAGATTTTTTAATAATCTACTCAAGCCTTGATATGATAAATTGTTTTTATTTTCATGTACAAATTGTTTATAAGATTCTTTCTCTTCAATATCTAATTTGATATTTTCTGTATAATTAAAATCATCAAGTTTTTGTATTTTGTTGTTTAATGATTCTTGATAATTTTGTTAAATTTGAAGTTGTTTATTATCAATTTTAAGTTCATTAGTAAATAAATTAGTTTTTTGTTTTCTAGCTACCTTGCTTTTTTTTTTTTATCTTTAGTATAGTCAGAGTCTTCACTATTATATCCTAATAGTAATAAATTCTATTCATTATTAATATCTAAATCAATATGTGATTTTGATATTAATTCTTTATAGTGATTGTTTGGTTTTCTTTCCGTAACAGCAGTACTTGATTCAGGCTGGCTATTGATATTATTATCAAGCTTTTGTTTTTTTGATGATGTGGCTTCAACTATATTAATTTTTCTTTTTGTAGTTTGGTATTTTACATTACTTGAAAAAGCTATTACTTGTTCTCTAGGCTTTGATTTAGAAATATTAGTTATAATTTGATCAGTAATATCATCAATATTCTTAGTAGTAGAATATTTATTTATTTCATTTGTCCAATTTTGTCTTCAATAATACAATCCTGTTGCAGGATCATATAATATTGTTCTATCAGCTCCTAAATCTGTAGTAACTTCTTTAACCTGTTCTAAAGTTGTTTCTTTATTAAATTTAATATCAAATATTTAATTATTAAAGTCTTTTTATTTCTTTTTTCAAAAATATATATAACATATCCTTTTCCATTTGTATCTATAGGATTGCCTTCAAATTTGATTATAAATCTAACTTTTCAAATAAATGCATCAATATTAATAGAAAAATTAGATTTTTGTAATTTTTTATAAGGATTTTTAATTGGGCCATTTGCTGTTATACAAATATATATAGCTACAATATATATTTTTCTATATTTAACATCTATTCAACAATGATTATAATCAGTTAATCTTAAAAAATTTGTCCATGTAATATTTGATTTATAAAAATCATCTAACAAAATTGTATTATCACGGTTATAATTAAATTCTTCATTATTATATTTTTCAAATTGCTTAATATCATCTTTTTCATACATTCCAGAAAATAAATCTTTGCAAAGTTCACTTTTCCTGTTTTAGTATCTTCATAGATATAGATTATACATGGTTCTCAAAATTGTTTAATATTTTTTAAAGAATTAATTTTTTGTTTCTTGATAGCTTTAGCAATTCTTTCTAATTCTTGAAGTGTTTGTAATCATTTTTTACAAGAAGATGCATATTTAGTGATCACTTTATCAATATTTGCTCTTTTTAGTACTTCTTAGTTGCTATCTCATAAAGGTTTGTTTAAACTTCTTTATCTTCTGAATCTGAATTAGAGTTAGATTCATTAAAAATCTATTTACAAGGACTAGCAATTTTAGTTTTTTCACTAATTTAAGCAAATAGTCTTTCACAAGACTCATTACACTTTTTGCATATTTTGAAAAAATTAAAAAAATCATATTTGCATGATTGATATTTAGGATTTTTACATTATTATAATCTTTTTTTGTATACTGTATACCAAGTATTGATCATCTGTTCTATCAGCAAAGTCTAAATAAAAATTTGCTTGAAATATTTTTTTTACTTCAGCACCTTCTTTAGTATCAGAATTGTAATAACCAACTTCTAATTGTTTGCTTTTTCTAAGTTTAGCAAAACCTTGACTATGATAACGTCTAGGTTCTAAAGACTTGCGATTTAGTTCAAGTTGAAGTTTCATTCTTGAAAAATAACATGTTTTTTTTTTAAAAATATTATCAATATGTTTACAAATAGTGTTAAGCCTTTCATATAAAGTAAAATTAAAATTTCGAAAATGGATTTTAGAAGTTATTGTTCTTGTCATTTTTAATTTTACATAAAGAAAATTCTAGTAGATAATTAAATACTTACTAGAATTTTTTTTATTGATAAATAAAGAAACATCTATAATATACAAATAAAAAATCTAAATATTTTCACCAAAACAAAACCAAAATGTGCTAAACTATGGAAAGCAAAATTTTAACCAGTTTTCTAACATGTTTGTTAATACGCAGCACTCACTTAAGACTAAACATACAAAAATCAGAGTGGGGTACTGTGAATTTTTGGCACTTTCATCACAAAGAATTACAGAAAAACTGTCTACAGAATACTAACATAAAAATCAAATATCTCCACAGATATTGGTTCGTTCAGGCTAAAATTTTAACCATAAAGAGTTGAAGGCCATACCCACAAATGCTGTTATTTTATGTAGAGATTTTATTTAGCCAAAGTGCTTCTAGAAGCAATTAAAGTCAGAGGTAAATTTATGAAAATGTAAATGTTAATGTTTTCAGAAAACATGATATCTCTGCAAGTTCATGTCTGTTTTACCTAAAAATTAAGATTCTAGTAGCCGAACCTTTTCTCTAAAAGTGTCATTATTACATGTTTTGAGGTTAGCATAGTGGATTTTTTTGTAAAAGATCACCATACGTTGGGCATTCTTCGAAATGTATGTTCTTTCTAAGAAAAGACGATTTTACACAAGAGTCGAACAAAAAAATTTGATATCTTAATGAGTTTTTGTCCGAAATGCATCAAATTCTGGAAAGCAAAATTTTAACCAGTTCTTTAACATGTTTGTTAATACACAGCACTCACTTAAGACCAAACATACAAAAATTAGGGTAGGGTACCGTGAATTTTCAGCACTTTTATCACAAAGAATTACGAAAAAACCATCTATGGAACACTAATATAAGAATCGAATATCTCTATGTATATTAATCTGTTCAGACTAAAATTTTAACCGTAAAAAGTTGAATTATTTTATATATAGAGATTTCATTTGGCCAAAGTGTTTCCGGAAGTAATTAAAGTCAGAGGTAAATTTACAAAAATGTGACTATTAACATTTCTAGAAAACATGATATCTCCACGAGTTCATGTCCATTTTACCTAAAAATTGAGATTCTAGTAGCTGAACCTTCTCTCTAAAAGTATTATTATTACATGTCTTAAGGTTAGTATAGTCAGTTTTTCTATAAAGGATCACTATATGTAGGGTATCATGTAAACGTATATACTATACTAGAGCTTTTAATTCAAGCCTACATAGCTTGAGGGTTTTGAATAAGTTGACTCAAGGAAAACTCCTAGATTTATATATTTTTTTTCAATAGATTTATATCAGGTGCATCAGTTCATTTAACCCTGTGAGTTGAATAACTTAGTTACTCTCTATTATTTAATATATTTGAGTAAGTGAGTGCTAAGAGGAGATTTTTTTATTTTTTTTACTATGTCTAATCAATTAGTAATTTGATGACGCACTCAACAAGATGCATTAATTTATTTGACACTATCTAAGGTGCGTCAGTTCATTTGACAAATGGGGTGAGTCAATAGAAAAGGGACAAATCATTTTTAGTAATTTTTTTTTAATTTTTAAATTAAAATATCTCAACA